TATTTTGTTTTATTCTTTTTTCTTTCAACTGTCCTTTGAATGTTAGACCTGATAATCATTTTAAAGCTAGTCAGTGGTAGTGATTAAGACACCAGGCTAGAAATCTTCCAAAATCTTGCCAATAAAATTGCAGGGACTTATCCAGGCAGTCACCAAGAATCCACATCCATTCAATGCACCAAAACAACAACCCCAAAGCAAAACAGAAAGTAGCAAGGGAAGAATCTGTCAGTTTTAATTTCTTATATATTCAAAATGTCAATCTTCTTTTCCATCTATACATGAGAGTACTGGACATTTTGATCAGCACCATCAAAGAAACAAGTTGTATAATCTCAGTCAACTCTACCAGAAGAAGAACAGAAGCAAAAGAAAGAATAGATAGAAACACAGAAATGGGAGAGCTATAAAGAACGTGGGAAGGACACCATCTGCAAGAAATTATTTTGTCTGTTGGTTTATTTGTCAAATTTATATGACCACCCATTTTAACCAAATAACTCAGGGCAGCTAACAGAAACATAAATGCAATATAATATAATTAAAAAATTGCAAAAGAAACCTCACCGTTTCTTTTATAAAAGACATAGTTGAGACATTATTAAAGTGTTTCTAACAGCGTAATGACAGAACATTTATACCAAGCTCTACAACACTTTGACCCCACCACCTAAGGAAGAAAGCCTTTCCAAGAAGCCAGGAGGATCTGCCGTCTTAGGCAGAAAGTTGTTCCAGAAAGCAGACACCCTCACAGAGAAGACATATCTTTTGGGTCCCATTAGTTGACAGTGTTTCACAGAAGGAACCCCTAGCATGCCCACCCTGCTACCACCTGGTAGGATGACCAGAAACCTATAGAAATAGGTGGTCTCTCAAATAACCATCCCCACATCATGTAGGCCCTTAAAGATAACAACCGGCCCTTAAAGATCACAACAATCTGACATCTGACAAGAAGAAAGGTTGGAAGAGGACCGGATGAAATGAAAATGTATGGATAAAATGGAAGGAAGGAGAAAGATTTCTTTTGGTTCTGATCTATCCCTTCTTAGCAGATTTTAAGAAGGGACAGAAAAGGAACATAGCAAGGGTGAAGCTGTCTCCCCCTCTTAGTGCTGATAAGACTCTTCTGACAGATTAAGCATAATGGAATCAAACTTTTTGTAATGGAGAAATTGCTTTGATGTCAGAAACACTTCCAGAGAATATTAATTAGCCAAGATAAATTCTAAAGCATTTGTAAATGACAGCAGTTTAAACAGGATAACTATTACATAAAAGCTTAAATAGAAGACCACACAGGATATTGCAGGAAACAGTAAAGCAGATAAAATGTTAATACTGAAATGCAATAGAGTTTTAGTTTATTTAAACTTGCAATCAGTTCAAACAATATTAATGGATTAAAGAAAAAGTTTTTCTACAACTTCTTATATAGTATATGCACACAGTCCAGTCTACAGACTACAGAAATAGCACTCTACCAACCACATCACTAAACAGGAGTTAAAACAAACAGGGGAAACAGTCTTTCTTCCAGCCCTTTAGAAAAGTTTAAAAATCGCTGAAAACAAATCCAATCCAAATTAGTACATCTAAGCCCAGTGATTAGCATGGTCTCATGCAAGATGCAGTTATTGTGTGTTCATTAAAATGTGGCCTTTTTACAGAGTGGATTTGCCCCTAAAGAAGAAGATCCATAACTGTTCATGCAGGGCTTACAGACACTGCCAGATATGCAGGTCGAAGCTGTAATCAGGGAAACATTGCCCAGCTATAGCCAGATGCAACCTTACCTGGAGCATTAGGAACCTGATTTGATAAACCATGCCCTCATCATCACTTATCTGGACACAATGCACTTTGAAGACAATTTATATAGATGGGAGTCTATATAAATGCGATAGACAGACAGACAGATGGGTAGGCAGACAGACAGATGATAGATTTATAAATCAGAGATTCACCAAATCTTTTATGGCCCTTGATATATTTAGATATTTTTTTTTTTTAAAAAAAGGAGTTACCACTTGTGGTGGACTTTGCCTACACCAGACATGTCAAACACAAGGCCCAGGGGCCGGATGTGGCCTGCAAAGTGGTTTCATGTGGCCCACGAAGCCATCCTGGAAACAGTGAGGGAACGGCCCCCACTGTCTTGGCCCTGGCCCTGGCCAGCCGGGAGCCAATGTACAATTTTGTGGTGGCCATCTATGCTGAAATGCATTCAGTCTTAGCTCCATAAGCCCCCCCCCACATGGCCTGAGAGGAACAGTGAGGCTTCTCCAGTGGACCATGCCTTAGTACTTGCCCTGGTCCCACCCCCTTCTGCCAGAGATCCTCAGATCTATCTCACTCCTGCCCAGGCCCCTACAGGCACCCTTGACGCAAACAATGTAGAGTTGGCTACGCCCACCAGTAGGCCACACCCCACTCCATCCACACCCACCCTGGCCAAACCCACCCAGCCTCCTAAGGGCAACCGCAATGCTGATGCTGCCCTCAATGAAATTGAGTTTGACACCCCTGGCCTATACAAATAGTGAATGTTGCAATGAAGACAAGAAGAACTTCACATGTTGAAAAGGATTAGGAAGAACTGCACAGTACTTTTCATACAAGCATAATACTTTTCTCCAGTTAATTAAAGCATCCACATCAATTTTCAGTGTTCTAAAAAAAGATATTGCTATTGCTAATTCAAGAGCGGCTTTAATGAGTTAATTCCTTAAAGCAGCCACATTTTTTTCCAGGCTTATGCTCATAGAGGTACTTGGATTGTATGAGATCTGAAGCATTTCTTTCTAATCATTTTCAAAGTGTGCACAGCTATCACAGCCTCTCTCAAGATATGCTTTTCCAGGAAGCAAATTGGTGAGGCTAAAAAAAACCAAATTGCATATCAAATTATATACAAGACACAATTTATACACACACACCCAAACACCCAAACTTTATCATATAAACACATCCTACAATAAATGATTAATACATGATTTTGAAGCTGAAATATAGTCTTTAGTTATACCTATTGAACAAATAGAACATTTCTCATGAACATTAATATTTAAGATGTGGCAACCGTCATTAATAAAATTCAAGGAAAAATGTTTCATGATGTGATAGATGAAGCCATTTTCTTGTTTGAATTTGCAGTATGGGAAATAACTGTAGTAAGTTGAGGCACATTTTGGGAAATGCTTGCATTTAATATATTCCACTCATTTTCTGGCTATAATCAAGTGTGGTTCCTTCCAGTTATTTAAGGAAGGACATTGTAATTCAGCTGCATGTGATTCTTAAGAGTGAAATGTCTACACAAGGGCAGTTTACAGCAACTAATATATCCAGAGGAAAATTAATATAAACCATGATAAACCTAACAGATTTAATATCTTCATAGCAAACAAAATGCACTTAAACCAAGGATGATCTATAAGTAGTATAAAGTGCTTGACATGCTATTGTACATAAAACAGCATATAAAACTCTTAAGGAGAATTCAAGAAATGAACTGATTGCATTCTGTTTTGGGTGAAAGTGATCAGGTTGCATATACACATGATTTTGTTACATGGAGATGATAATAATTCCTTGAGAATTTAAACATGAAATAATCTAACATATAATATATGAAATATTTTTCAACTGCAAAAATATTTCTATTCTGCATATTGATGCATTTTTATTGATTGTATCATAGCATTTTTATGGAAAATATGTTGATAGCATTTTTAGGTCTTTATATGACTTAACTTTGATTGCAGATGTCTTTTAAGTATTATATAATTTATCCAAGACTGGAAAAAAAGGAAGACCAGGATTCAGGTTTTGCCCAAATTGCTCCTGAAAAAAGATCTGTTGGAATGCATAAGTCCATACTTCCATGGACATAGATGCTTATTTTACTTTTTCTTACCATGTGACTTCCCTATTTTTTTTTTTTTTTTGGTTATTTGTAGAATCTACTCATTTTGTCCATGCTAAGAAGGCCCAACCATATCTTGGAGTATAGAACATGTCTATGAAGTTTCTCAGTCATCCAGGTCATGATTGTCCCAAAGGTACTTTTTCAAGAAGCAAGTGGACTTTCTTTACTTTTCCTTGAAGGCATTTTGCTTCCCATCCAAGAAACTTCTTCAGTTCTAAAATAAAGTCCAGTTGCCTCTTGAAAAAGCACCTCTGGAACGAGCAAAGAACATGCTTTCTGTGTGGAAAGGCCCACAATCTTTTCCCATCACCACCATTTAAGGATTACTGATAACAAGGCTGGAAGAATCTGAAAACCTGAAAGTGTGGACAGCTACTTTAATTCATCTTAGACAATTTTCTATATTTAATTCATCCCAACAGAAAAGAAAGCTATGTGAAGTAATGATTTCTTCTTGCTGCACTTACCAAATTCTGGATTTGACAAATGCCAAGCAATTGATGTGAGGATTGTATAATGGTAAGCTCTCTTTTCTACATTTGACCATGTTTTGGTTGAAGCAAACTACAGTTTATAACAACCAACTAAATTGGTTTTGGCATAGGACTGCCCTAAAGAGAGGGAGTGATGGGCATTTGGATGGAATGTTGCCTTTGGCATTTGGGTGGCACTTCTAAAAAATGGATGTGGGAACCTCTCAGTGGTGGGGAAGAGGTGAGGGAAGTGACAAACCAGCAGCTGCCTACTTATCCATATTAATAATCTATCTGTTCAGATATACAGTATTTTACTTTGTACAAAATCACAAGCTGTGAAAAAAAGAAAGTACGAAAGTAGACAATGCTTGTTGTTCTAATGACAACTTTCAGGTAGAGCCTAACTATACTGGAACAATTTTGGCCACTTGAGGGATGTTACTGACTTCTTCAAAGTAGATGCTATTATTATTATCATCAATAATAGTAACAGCAGTAGCAGTCATACATATTTCTCCTTTTATGAATCATGATTCTGGGCTAAGAACACAGTAAAATATAAATTCTTTTTAAATATAGAAAATAGCACATACCTCATCAACTTGTCCAACAGCTCCAAAAATCTTTGCCATTTGCCCTATCAAATTAGGAAAACTCTCTCCAGTTTCTTTCAGTATGGGCAGTAAATTGGCCAACAATTCCGGTTCATAATCTGATATTTCTATGAATATGTCTAAGATGATATCATTATAAAGAGGATCTCTTAGGTGATCAATTAGAGAAGAAATACACTGTTTGAAAACCTACAAGAAGGGTGAAACATAAATTCCAGTCTGATTTTTGTAAAGAAAAATCCATCTGCTTGTAATTCTCAAATAAGTTAATTCAAGTTCAATTATTCTCAACATATACACATAGGATACTGCTTGAAGTTATACATTCATTGATTTAACATTTCATTAAGGAAATTCTTAAAAAAATATCCTACAATATTTACAGTTTTTTCCCTTTAGACTAATATGTTTTATTGATTTTTTTTAAAAAAATCAGTTAAAGTCTCTGATAGAATATTGTGAAAGGCAACTGAAATTCCCACTTTCTACATTTGTTTAAATGTCACATTTGATGCCTAAAATGAAGAATGAATTTAAGATGCAGATTTTTAGATAATTTAAGTTAGCATTGAAGTGAACATTTAGTTAGCATAGCCTCTATATGTTGCACTGGAAAGTTACATATTTACAGTAGGATTCAGGTCACTGACATTCTGAGAAATTATAATCACATCCCTATACCATTAGGTCTATTAAATTAATTGAAATCAATCAACTCTAGATGCTTTGTTGCAATCAAGTACACAAGAAAAAGATGGTGATGTAGCCATACACGCACGGGACTGATTTATGGAACTATACTGGAAATCTACTTATGAATCCCCTATGTATTGGTTTTGCAATATCATGATTAAAAACTGAAATTATAATTTGCATGAGTCTGAAAGAATACCCCTGAACATGTAGGAAACCGAATTAATGAACATGCTTTACAAAAATCTAAATGTACAGGCTTAAATTTCTATAAGAAATAACTTAAAAAGAAATTCTTGAGTATCACAATAATAAACCTGCTTGTAATTAGGAGCAATTACGTAAGCATCACTAGTTAGTGGCATACATTTAGTCCGTGTATAGTGTGATATGCCTAAAATAAGAAATCCATGTATGCCACCCAGAATGAAACATAACATATTTAAGATAGAATTATGTTCATATATAGTATAGAAAACTGAGGAAGTAGCTCATTCAATTTTTGAACATTCTTAACTCTAACCCATTATCTGACTCTGAAGTTTATGTTTATCTTCCAATATCTCAGGGGCTGCCACAAAGAAGAGGGAGTCAAGCTATTCTCCAAGGCTCCTGAAGGCAGGACGAGAAGCAACGGATGGAAACTGATCAAGGAGAGAAGCAACCTAGAAATAAGGAGAAACTTCCTGACCATTAGAACAATTAACCAGTGGAACAACCTGCCTCCAGAAGGTTTTTCCACAATGCTCTAACACTAGAAGTTTTTAAGAAGACACTGGACAGCCATTTGTCCAAAATGGTATAGGGTTTCCTGCCTGAGCAGGGGGTTGGACTCGATGACCTCCAAGGTCCCTTCCAACTTTATTATTATTATTATTATTATTATTATTATTATTATTATTATTATTATTATTATTATTATTACCTTAATTCAGTGTTTCCCAAACTTGACAATTTTAAGGCATGAGGACTTCAACTCCCAGAATTCCACAGCCAGCAACGCTGGCTGTGGAATTCTGGGAGTTGAAGTGCACATGCCTTAAAATTGTCAAGTTTGGGAAACACTGCCTTAATTTATAGTATATCTCTACCTAAACAAGTATGGAGGATTTAAACTTATATCTTTCCCTTACAAATAAATTTAAACTTTCTCTTTTTCCTTTATGAACTTGGCTTACAGATCATAAGGAATACAAATAAATGTATCTGCATAAACTAAATTTGTAACAATGCACTCTTAGGAGGTGCTGCTTTCGTTTTGTGCTTATGATGGATTCTAAGACAAGTTAAAGAAAATTCTCTCTTTTTGAGATACTTGACAATAGTGTGCAAGATATTCATTCCAGCTGAGTTTCTCAAATATTAAAAAAATGAATCCTGCTTTGAGTCCTAGGGACTTTATGAACATATCCATGTAGTTATTTTAGTTATAATTCAGAACTTTTTGGTCGTGAATTCTTTTGAGGGATTTTTTCAACTTCCCAATCTGCCCTGGTAGTTTTCTATTCAAAAAGTAGACAATTCCAACCTTTTTTTCTTATGGTGGCTGGCCAGATACGTTGGAAATTATTTTCTATAGAAATAGGTTGAATTTTGTCTTGTGAGCAAGTAGCATTTTGAACATCATATTCAATAGGCTTCTAGCTTGGCCTGCATAATTTCTATGTTCTCACTAGTTAAAGAAAGGACTGTTGGCCTTAGTTTTTTTAATGACATTCCTAGCATTAACTAGAAATCAAATGGGTTTCCTAGATCAAACTGGTATTTGGAAGAAACTACCTCTATTCATAATGTGATAACGTCATCAATAACAAATAACTAAATCTACATATCACACTTTGAATCCATATTGTTTTTCCCTAAGTCACTGAAAGCAGTATATATTAATATTATTTATTTTTATTTATTTATTAATGTTTTATGCCATCCACTTCCCAATAAGGCAACTCTGGGCAATTTACAGATTATATTATTTGACTTCATCCTGGTAGTTGCTCTGTGTTATAAGCTATGCTGAAAGACAATGTGTTATATTAAGTCTTCACAATTAGGTTTATGGATGACCAGATGTGACTCTCTTTCTTGAAATGCCAGATTTCAATTTACAAAGTCTCAAAGACACACAAACACATACACATACACACACACAGTATCTTTAACAGAAGAATGGGAGTCATGCTGAAAGTGTAGACTAGATGGCCTATACTCTAAACCAGGAATGTCAAACTTGCAACATCATGTGACGTGTTGGGGGGTATTGCGACTTTTTTTCCATTGCTGGCAAAGGGGTGGGTGCAGTTTTGCCACGATGCATCTGGCCTGCGGGCCAGCAATTTGACACACCTGCTCTAAACAAAGGCTGAAATGGGTCCTGTCAGAGTGGAATTATGGAAAAAATTATAGTCCCTCCGTTGCTATATATTTTGTAAAAATTCCTTCAGCTGTAACTTATAAATTTCTGGAGCTTTTAAAAAAATTTTCATTTTCATTTTCATTACTGAAATGAATATATCCTATAATCTGGTACTGTTGTATTTTATAAGGTCCAATGCAGTGGTGGGATTCAAATATGTGAACAACCGGTTCTCTGTGTGGATGCCGCTTCTGGAAGTCCATTCTGGGCTTGGCAACAAAAAATTAGCTACTGGTTCTGCCAAAGTGATGCGAACTGGCTGAATCCCACCGCTGTTCCAATGTGAGATAGCACAAACATTCTGCGTAGGTAACAGAACTGGCTATACATGAAACATGAAATGTTTGTACTTTTTTCTGTTTTCTTATAAAATTACTTGCTCTTCTTTAATCATGAAAATATCTTTATCTTTGTAGAGATACATCTTGGGGGTTGTAGACAATGATGTAACTTCATTACCACAAGACTTATTTGCACCAGTCTAACTTTGGATCCAAGGGAATATCCCTTTACAGGACATGTTTCAACATAAGGGATATGTGCTAACATTGGAAGAACAATGTGCTCTAGTGATGCTTGTGAGATTACTTGCATTACTAGACTTGGAAATTCAGAGGTTAGAACAACTCTTAGCCTCATTTTGCAAGCTTTGGAGCCCTTCCCTGCTCACAGGCCTTGGAAATTCAGTGGCAAAATGTCAATTATCATCACAATAATTTGCACATATTGTACTTATTTATGCAAGAGTTATAATAGGTTTATTGAGCCAAATGCATTGGGAAACCTCTTATCTTTGTGCAGTGAATATAACTTGAGGACAGGGTACCAAAGTACCAGTGTTAAATTAAGATACTTGATTAGAGATTAATAAATGCATCAGTGAATACATTCACTAAATAATAAATGCATAGTGAATAAATTATTCAGTAGGCTAAAGTGAAGCCCAAAGAGAGGACACCCTACATCAGGGATGGGGAACTATGGCCCCTTTATGACCTGTGGACTTCAACTCCCAGAATTCCTGAGCCAGCTGGCTCAGGAATTCTGGGAGTTGAAGTCCACAGGTCATAAAGGGGCCATAGTTCCCCACCCCTGCTCTACACAAGACAGGTTCAGCCAACTGATTGAGCCTATGGTGAACTTTCCTCTTTGGGGAGCGGATGTGTAACTGGTTTTCAAACTTAGCAAATCTTAATGCAAAGTTCATGATTGGAGAGGCAATTCTTGAAAAGTTATAGGTAGGAATTTTGGATCCTGGCCTAGTGAGAAGTTTAATTGTACCGGGATGTATCAAAATTACAGGGTTCTTTGCCTCAAGAACCACATGTTTTCAGTTGACTAAATATGAAATGAAGAAAAATTACCTTAGGCTGTTTTTTCTTTGCAACAGTTAGCAAAAGCTGCAGAAGATGTTGCTGTTCAGATGGTTCCAGATGAGGCATCAGTCCTACCAATTCTCTCAGGTGATTGCTTAAAGGTTCTTGTTGCTTTTCATACAAAGAAGGCAATATACGGAGCAACGTGGAATTCCCTGTGAAGAATATGGGAACAGAATAGTAACAAAGAGCCTATTCTATTTTCCTCTGTCAACAAGGCTTTAAGTTTGAATGATCTCAAGCTGAAGAGATAAAGCAAAACAGAATCAGGATTTTATTATCCATGGTTTCTGGGAACGATGTCTGTGGGAACTGAATGCTTGCATCAAAACATATGGCAGAACAAGAGAAAAACAGAAATCAAAATATTATTTAATATGGAATGTGACTAAGTAAGGCAATATGGCTTTGTATTTAACCTGAACTATTTTTTAAAATGTTATTTAAATTGAGTATTAAACACTATGGTTATACTAACTGTTAAAAAAACCATTCTAACTTACCTATTCTCTATATCCCACTTGAATTTAAGTACCCTATGTTACACTTAAGCAAGCTATGCTAAAGAGAAATCTGGAAGCAATATTTTATAACTATGCATTTAATACAAAGATACACTGATAACAACATAGGATACAATTGCTCAGATGCTGATAAAGTATGGAGGGGAGGTGGAGAGAATAACCAAGACAAAATAGTTTTACAATTTTGGAAGAATGTTTGAAGAAGTATATGCACAAGCTGAATTGAAGCCAAATTTGCAGAGAAATCTGTAACATGAAACATCATACAAGACAGCGCTGGAATGACTGAAGTTCCATGCTGATAACATATGGAAAACATCTGCCTATCATGATATTACATGGTTTCATTCTCTAAATCTTCAAAACATACTGAATTTCTCTATGGACTTACTTTCTAGCAAAAAAACCAAAAACATGTTGGACTTCTGTACTTTTATTATTTAAAAACAAGGTCACTCATCGACTATACGATAGCAAAATTTCTGTCTTTTTAATAGAAATATCAGTTTACTGCACTTTCCCTCCTAAATTCCTGGAATGCCCCCTCCCTCCCCCTTCACACACACACACACACACACACTTTACACACATATATTTACACACACAAATATATATTTACACACACATAGTACATCAGCATCTTGTAATGAATTTAAAATCGTTAATTCTAGATGACGTAGCTTTCTAATTAGCATTCCTGTCTGAGAATCATGCAGATACAGCCATTTCTCATCAAACAGATATGAACTAACAATACTTATTCACCATGTCTTTCACATAAAATACAGCCTACTTTAATCTTGGTCTTAAAAATGACCAAGTGGCATTCATATCAGTCAGTAGATTTACTCACAATTTTTCAGTTTATTTACTAGTGGAATCCCAACATCCATTTCAGGTGAGGGATTTGTTCCCTCACTTATCTTTATCTTAAGCTGCTTTTGTAAGCTGTAGAATAAGTTTGAAGGAGGTGACCAACATTCAGAAAAATGTAATCTTTCCTTTTTCTGGTATGAAAAGAGTCCTACAGGAAAAGGAGTATGGATTCTGTGCTCTTCCATGAGGATACATCAATCAGTAATGTTTCTTTTTTAAGTTTATGTTGGTTCACAAAATACTGACAGTGCACATTTATCAAACTATGTCAGTTAAATATGACATAACTGAAGGGCAGTAGAATGATATGTACATATACAAGAATTAATATGTCTTTGAATACTGATTGCTGGCAGAGTTGTAGAATGAATAATGGATAAGGGCATTGTTCTCATGACCTCGTCATGATTTTTTTGGAAACATAGGGACAGACCCCAGTGGAAAACAGATGTTGGACTAAATGGGTCTTTGGTCTAATTCAGCAGGCTTTCCTTTATGATTATCATTCCTTATTATTGGGAATAAGATGCCTGTAACATATATTATATTGCCATGGTTTTAACACACTCTGGCGTTAAGGATAATATTTTCCTGTTTTGCATCATTTAAAAATATTTACATATTTATTTGTAAATGCTTCAGATGGCCTTCTGATTCAAAAGAGCCCTTTCAAGGCTATATATATACGATATCAATAATAATAATAATAATAATAATAATAATAATAATAATAATGTTGTGGACTGGACTCAAGCAGAACTAAAAGCAATGGATAGGAAGACCAGAAAAATAATGACAATGAATCATGCCCTTCATCTACGCAATGACATTGACAGACTTTATCTACCAAGGTGAATAGGTGGGCATGGAATGCTACAAGTACATCAGATGGTTGAAGAAGAAAAAATGGCTTTGGAAGAATATCTGAAGAACAATGATGAAGATGCACTGAAATTAATATATCAGGAAGGCTTACTGACTACTGGAGAGACCAAACTGGCCTACAAGAAAGACCAAATGAAGAACAGAATAGAGGCATGGGAAAACAAAGCACTACATGGCCAATACATTAAAAAAATAGCTGGGAAAGCAGATATTAACAAGACCTGGCAATGGCTAAGAGCAGGAAAATTGAAGAAAGAGACCGAGGGACTAATTCTGGCTGCACAAGACCAAGCCTTAAGGACAAATGCATATAAAGTCAAAATTGAGAAGACAGCAACAGACAGTAAGTGCCGCCTATGCAAAGAAGGTGAAGAAACAGTGGACCACCTGGTAAGCTGTTGCAAGAAGATTGCACAGACTGACTACAAGCAGCGGCATGACAAAGTAGCAACAATGGTGCATTGGAAGATCTGCAAAAAATATCATTTGCCTGTAAGCAAAAACTGGTGGGATCATAAAATAGAGAAAGTCATAGAAAATGATAAAATTAAACTGCTCTGGGACTTCAGAATTCAAACAGACAAGCACCTGCAACATAACACCCCAGACTTAACAATTGTCGATGAGAAAGACAAAAAAGTCTGGATAGTGGACGTGGCAGTGCCTGGAGATAGCAGAATAGAAGAGAAAGAACTGGAGAAGATAACAAAATACGAAGACCTACAAATAGAAATAGAAAGACTGTGGCAAAAGCAAGCAAGGGTAGTACCAATAGTCATAGGCTCCTTGGGTGCAATCCCAAAACAACTGGAGCATCACTTGAACACCATCGGCATTGACAAATTCGCTATTAGTCAATTGCAAAAGGCGGCCTTACTAGGAACTGCTTCCATCCTGCGACGATATCTGTAATACCATCAAACATCCACATCTGCCTATCCCAGGTCCTGGGTAAGGACTCGATAGGTAGACAAAATGCCAAATACAGTCTGAACATCTGGCTGACTGTGCAATGATCAATAATAATAATAATAATAATAATAATAATAATAATAATAATAATAATAATAATAATAATAATATTCAGTGTGATGAACAGTAACTAATAAAAGCCAGAAATAGCAAAAGTAAAATCAAATCCAAGCATTAAACCACACAAACTAAAACAATTTTCCTTAAACAATTCTATAAAAATATACATTCTAAACCCACATCCTTTTCTTCCACATGCTTCTTTGCAATGGCCTGGGATGATATCATCAAAGTATTTAGTCTAAGTATGTCTGAGTCAGCAGAAGACAAGGCTGGATTGCCTCATATGCCTAATCAAGTATTTTCTGCATCAGAACAAGTCATCTGGACTGACCTAGGCCAGATACAGGATTCTTACAATGAAGTTAAGAAGAAGCTTCCAGACAAATGGCAAAACTAAACACGTCTGTGTAGTTAAGCTCTGAATAGAAGAATTTAGTTGCCAGGCCACTAATAGATACATTCCTGCTTTAAATCTCCAGATAAGGTATCTTTAAGTGAGACTAGAAAGGAACACACCAGAGATTAAGCTTTGACATTAGCATTATTCAGCCATGTTACGAAGCCTCCAGATTGCTTTTAAATTAATGATGCTTTTCATTTCTACTTCTAATAGAAAAAGCAAAACAAAATCTGGGATATCCAATCTTACTATTTCTACAGCATGTAAGCAGATGTTCACCCCTAAAACAAGAGATGCCTTTCTATATGAAACTTGGGAAACAGTTGGGTCCTTATGAATTAAAGGGTATGAAGTAAAAGTTGGCTAATGGATTATTCCAGAGGGAAATTTTTGGGTGAAATGAGTTATGAATGAGGCACCCTCAGTCTGCTTGAAGCTGGGTAATTTCTATTGATGTTAGCACATAAAAGGTACCTTCATACAACCAAATTTTGTCGTGTTATTTACCCAGCACTCCATCAGCATTGGTTTCAAATTCACACTTTGTATATTTTGGCACAACGATGATCAATTACTGGCTGGCAGATCAATTTAAATATATTTTTGTAAAGTTATCATCTGCACAGTATTATTGACTTGTGAAAACGTAAAATTTAAAATTGGAAGGAACTTTATTTTGTAAAATAAAATATGGACTAAACCTTTTCAGAGAAGTGTTTAAACTTTTGAAATCATATTTTATCCCTTGGAATATGGTCAACTATTGGTCATGCACTGTGTGATGCTAGGTTGAGAATACAAATGAGAAGCATTTTGAATGATGACTTAAAATGAAAACAGACATTGCATTAATCATGCCAATGCATTTAACATGTGCAAATTCTCTTAGGTAACTAGTAGACATGGGCAGTCCTAAGTTACCTGGGAATAATTGGGGTAAGGAAAAGAAATTAATGCTAAGTAATTTTCCTCTCATCTACCCTAACAAAATTTGCTCCTCTGAAGCTACTATCTTCATTTCTTCTCTTTAATCCAGGATTTACATAGATAAATGTATGGCAGAACATGCTATGAGTTCAAAGGAGTTGTGAACCCATCTTTGGAATGCTAAGTTGAATGCACTCAGGTAGAAAGATGTAATTTTTTCATTCACACATTTTTCATTCGCACATTGATAATAAGTCTGGAAACATGTTTCTGGAAACGATGAAAAGTAATCATATGGCTTTATTTCACAGAGCACTGGCTATTTGTATCAGCAAGGAAGATGTTATATAATGACATATCAGCATTCTCAAGTGAAATCAAATGAATGAATGGATTCCCACTGGATCATTCTGTTACCAAAAAAGACCATTTGAGTCTTGCTTTTATTAAAACTCTGTCATATTTATTTAGCAAATTCACATAGCTGCCCATTCTCCAGGAGGCTACA